CTCTCGTTGACAGAGTTCAGAGATACATTTCGTAGAACTCATCTGCACTAGAGTAATAATTGTTGGAGAATTAATTCTAAGTTTTGAAATTCTCAGAAACACTTCGAAAGTATCCTCCAGCTCCTATGTTGTCTCGAAGATGCGAACACCAGTACCAAGTGCCAGGAAGTAAGCTTGAATTGCCAGCAGGTATGCGGGTGATCATACCGATCTATGGATTTCATAACGATCCAAAGTATTATCCGAATCCGGCAATATTCGATCCTGAGAGATTCACAGAAGAGAACAAACGAACCAGGCATTCTTACACGTATCTTCCATTTGGTGAAGGACCTCGAAATTGCATAGGTAGTATTACTTCTAAGTCATAACTGAAATCTTCTGAAAGATTATTTGACAAATATTTTTAAGGTAATGGACAGAACAAACTGCAAATATTTAATGATAGATTAAAAAAAAAAAAAAGAAAAAATAGATATGATGTCATGGAACACAAACTTTTTGAGAATTTTCAATCTATGCTGCCGTATTGAACGAAGATCATTTTGAAAGAATTAATAATTTACGCTATATATTAAATGACATAAAATAAAAATTAAGTATTTCTCGTACACTGTATGTATTTATTTCAGGTATGCGGTTTGCATTGCTGCAGATCAAAGTGGGGATAATTTCGTTTCTTAAAAAACATAGAGTGGAAACATGCGAGAGAACGATTACACCGATAAAATTCAGTAGACGAAGTCTCGTGACAACCAGCGAAAAAGGTTTCTGGCTTAAAATCGTGCAATGTTCTTAAATATTGTGAAACATCTATCGTGTACTTAAAATACCTCGATATCGACTTTTTGTTAGTATTAATGCGGCCAGTAGAACAATTTCAATCTCAATTTTTTGTTTTTCTTTTTTTATTTTTATACTCCATGAATATTTATTCAAAATTATTAGCATCGTTGTTTTCAATAGTTAATGATATCTCAGTGATATTTTATTCATCGACAATACATGTATTTATAATTGCATATATTTATAACATGCAATTCATTAGTAATTATGAATATGCTTCATTTCTAATGGATGGTATTTATAGTTAATGTTATTGCACTATCTTCTCAAAGATAATTTTTGTTGAACAAATAAAAACGTTTGTATTTTTGTAAACATTTTATACGTTAAACATTAGAATGTATTTATGTAATAAATATCATACGAATGAAAAGTATTAGTACGTGATAAGTATGGATCTGCGGATGTGTGATAATGAATTAAGCGAAAGAGATTAAATGTTTAATCTAATGTATCAATTACAAATGAAGAGCGATTCTGAGGATATAGATGCGCGATTAGCCCGAATGCATTAATGTATTTACTTTGAGTACACATGATAAAAATATGCGTTGTGTAGGTGAAGTATTTAAAAATGCAGTATGATTGAGAGACGAGAGTCGTAAATGAATCGTTCAAGGATAGGTAGAGAGTTCTGTAAGAGCTAAAAGTAAGGTGTGATGTTATTACTTCTATTCAGTAGTTTTAGTATATTAATATCTATTTAAATAATGATAATATAGTTTATATTGCATTCACTTAAAAAAGATTATTGAAAAAAAATTATTAACTTAAATCTACAAAAAATATATAGAACTAATAAATATATAAAAGGAAGAAATTTTATGTGAAAAAATAAATTGAAGATATGTAATAAAATATGTACATTTGAATAATGTTTTATTCTTGAGTAAACAGAATTTAATTCATTATAATTATATATTTGTATGTATTGTGAACGTAGTTAATTTCCAACTGAGCTGTAATGAACAATAACAGAAAATTATTCTACATACAGGAATGAATCAAAGATGAAGAATAACATTTTATTATTTAAAACTTCCAGTTCAAGAAAAACAAATTTAAAAATTTATCATTTATTTTGTTTCATGTTTTCAATTTCTTTTTTCTCATAGAATTATACTTCCTTTTTTTTTTTTATCATAACTACAAGGACCCTGTATTAAAAGAAAATGAAATTAGTACATAATATTCATACAATTCTTTACATAAGACCCAAGGCATTGAGTTTACATGCACATCTATACATATTACCACCACAAACTTATATACTCCTAACTGTAAACAATCCTACGCGTTCCATGTATAAATCAGCTTTAATCAAATAAGGTTTGACGGTAAGGTTAAATAGATTAACCATCCAAATAGTCGATACACCGGAAAGAGTTAATGTAACCTAACTGTATACCGTCACCACTTTCAATTACATCCGCACCATAGTCAGTCTTTCGTTACATCGTATCGTTGTATTGATTGTAAGACGTATCGTGCATGTACATATGATACGCATATTGTGTCTTCTACTAGTACATTGTCTATCCGTGGCTCCAAGTCAGTGCACTCTTTGATTTGTATATAGTATCTACGTCTGTACAATAGATCGTTTATACACGATAGTTAATTATACGATTGGAAATGTCATTTCCTTGATTAAGTGACAGTGCTTTTTTCTCAAACTGTATCGGTTTTCCGATCGATGATTTTTCAGTAACGAAATACTCCACTGAAAATAATGCTAGGGTGAGCCATAAATCTGTTTACGTAGACGCATAATATTTCTGTCATTTCAGTTTGATAATGCAGCTCTTTGAATGATAAGATCCACATCAACAATACCTTTTTTTCACTTTTATCAATGCATGAAATATATGATAGCAACTAATGTTGAAAAATTTCTTTTTGATGTGTTTCTATTAACTTTCTTATCATTATGTTTTAACATACAACATTGTACCATGAACAGTATTATAAATTAGAATTTGTTAGGATATTAACAAATTAATATTAATACTTAATTTTATTTTCTTGACAGTCTAAGAAAATGCTTTTGCAAATGCATTTTAGGTATAGGTTAAAATAGGTTTTTAAACTGTACGTCCCTTACATCTATTTATATTATTAGTAATATTATATTCTACTAGTTTGTCATATTTACACGTGAATATACGTATATGTATACGTCTATTTTAGTGCTTCTTCCATTCTATAATGTACTAATCAGTCTTTAATTTAATTCTAGATGTCACACTATAGAAAAACAGACACTCAGAGATCTGCGGTGATTGATTATGAACGTCAGTTCCAAGAAGATTTAGAACGTGCCCAAGCATTGAGTTTGGAGAGTTTGGCACTAGAGAAATTTAAATTACAAAAGCAGCAATCAGATTTTAATAATATTCAGCATCAATGTATTCCACAAAATGATGGGAATAGCACTGTACATAGTAGTTCGTCTGAAAAAGATAACATACCACAAACTGAGAAGTAAATGAAACAAATTTAACCATTTATTTGTTACAGAAGTTAAATTATATTTAATAACAATGATTATATAGATTTCAGTGTAGAAGTAGACCAAGGCCTGGTTCCTTTAATACCAATCAATCTAAAAATGCTGTGATATTAGCACCACCACCAGTTCCATCTAGAAGAAATTCAACAACAGCTACCACAAGTCAAGACACTGTTGATTTGATTAATTTCACAAGTCCAGTGAAACAAGATAATTTAAGTGATTATTATTCACCTCCACCTCCACCTCTGTAAGAATATAATTAATCATTTTATAAAAATTGTAGTGTTAGTAATTAATAATTGTTTTTCTATAGTAGGAAAACAACTGTAGAGCCAAGCTGGGAAACTCATCCCTCATTATTGAAAAAACAGGGAAGAGTATCACGAAGCACTAGTTCTGCAGGTTATCATCCTCGAGACTTTCGATATCAATCACTTTCTCCAGGACCTAGATCTTCCACTGCACCTTGTACACCAGGAACTCCAAAAATTAGTCCTGTTATGTCAAGATCTAGTAGTATTAGCAGTAATGTACCTGATATAACACCACAAGTAAATATTATATTTCTATAAATATTCAATAATTACCAGATATAATTAATTTTTTTTGTTTTTTATTACAACAATAATTTTGTTAATGATACATTTCTTGCAGCCTGCATGGAATCTTAATGATTTTAAAAATTATTTTATTACTCATTCTCAGGTATATATTAGGTATAAATTTTAAGTTCAGATATAAAGATATTAATTTTAAGTTTCTCTATAACTTATTTAACAGATATTAAGTAATATCTAACCTTTCTTAAAAACATTTTAATAATCTTTTTGCAGATACCTCCACTACCTATGAATTATAGACCAAGTGTTACTCCTTCTACATGTGGTATTCAAAAATCTACATTCTGTGCGGATGATGAACAGCTAAGTGTATTAAAAGTGATAGAGAAAAAGCCAAATAATAATCTTATAGATTTGAGTTCTTTTGATCAAGTAGAAGATAAAACAAATGTTCGAGTTAGTGTACTAGAAGCATTTGATCCATTACTTGTTAAGATTGAAGATCAGAACGATAGTGGACAAGGACATAAAGATGGTAATACTTTGTTAAAATGTAGATTTAGAAATAGAATAAAATAATTACATGAACATTTAATAATAATATGACGTATTCAAATAGAAATGCAATCTCAAGTGAGTGGATCGGTGTATGATCCATTCGATCCTTTCGATTACATGTATAGCACAAACGAAAGTGTTAATTCAGATCCAGTATATGTTGCTGTGGAAAAGTCTGCTAAATCTCCAGCGGTATCTCCAGCTGCACCACCACCTCTACCTCCTAGAAATTCATCAGCTTGGAATACTATTGAAAGAAGAAGAACTTCTTTAGATAGAAGAGTAAATATTCCAAATGATTAATTATCTAAATGAATAATTGATAATTAGAGTTTTAATAATTTTAATCATTTATATCCCAGAAACGACAAACGCGTTTGTATGAAAATGTAACTGTGAGAAAAACCAGACCGTCACTTCGTGATTGCGATCTTAGAGCTTTCTATGAAATGATAAAATCTGTTCGAGGTTAGTAAAGTATAAGCAATTAATTTAGTATTTCAATAACATTGACAATATATATTAATCTGTAAAATATATTCAGGTGAATTTCCGTTTAATAATCCCAGTACAAACATTGGACATGTAATTAGTCCGATGATGGAAAACTTATATCCTGAAAGCACAAGTATAAAATTAGTTGTACACCCGCAATTAATGGATTCTGACGAAAATACTCCGTCCATTTCGTTTACATGCGATGGTAAGCTAATAGAATTTATAATACAAAATTTATCAAAAAGTTTCAATGATTTAATGCGCAGTACATAATTTTTTCAGTAAATTGTAGTGTTGAGCATGTTATTCTTAATATCGCTTGTTCCTTAGAAGATGAAGATATAGTAAATATAGAGAAATATTGTTTGAGAGTATGGGGTTTAGCAGAATATTTTGCACCTAATACGACTTTAGCTCAATATGAATATATACATCAATGTATCAAATTAGAAAAAGATATCGAATTAGCTATTCTAACTAAAACACAAATAAAACGATCTATAGCACGAACAGTAAGTATTTCTTTGATCATAAAAATATCTTAATTCATAATTACCTGCGTTATAATATGTATATTTAATTTGTTAATAGCTTCAAGATGATAATCGTGATCAGTGTCTCAAGTTAGAAGATATTCTTCCAAACGAACCAGTACAACCTATTTCGTATGATACACTTCTTATCTTGTTAGGTATAAAAACAGAAAATAATTATGAAATTCTTATCACACAAAAAAAATATAAAGGTAAATTATTAAAGTAATAATTATGTATATTTATATAAAAAATTATAGAAACTGTAGAAAAAGAAATGGAACGTGTGGAAACTGCTGCTATACAATTGGCAACTACTAATCATGGTTCCGGTCTTTTACCACAATTACAACCCCGTGGTGTTGTCCAAGCAGTAAAAGCAGTATGCGCATTAATGGGAAGCATCGAGACATTTGAAATTACTGAAGCTGTCGATAATTTTGTGAATGCATGTTGTCAATTTTTACCTCAAGTTCATACAGCAAATATAGAGTGCAAGAAACCAGAGATTCTACATGAAGATGGCGATTACTCCGTAGTAACTTTAAGAACAAAATTTCCAGATGTTATTGCATCTCATTGTCGAAAAGTTCGCGATGCAATTCAAGATCTTGTAGAAACTTACTGTCATGCATTTAGAGTCGATTTTGAATTAAACAGCAGGGGAGAATTTCCAACAAGTAAGAACATTAAATCTATAAAATTTTATTTTGACGAATGATAAATTGTAAAGAGACTTAATATATGTTATATTTCTTTTATGATAGATACATTAATATCGTCTGAAGTATTAGATACTGTCTTAGTTCGTGTTGGAGCATTACATAGATTACCAGGATCGTGGAAACACGACGATTATATCGTCGCAACTCAAATATTTCATGGAACAAGACCTGTTGGAAATCCAGTTTTATCTGAACCTATGGCAGTCAGTTCTAATTTTTATCCAAGAATTTTATTTAATTCGTGGTAATGTTTTATTTAAAAACTACTATTAAATAATATCACTTTTTATTTCTATTAATAATGTGTTTGTTACAAAAGGCTGGAATTTCGGGGAATAAGCGTATGTCAAGTACCAAGAGAAGCTAGATTAGTGTTGGTTTTATACGGCCGGACATTGCAACCTACTGAACACGAGTCTAATTCGTTAGCAGAAAATACCATGCAAAAAGAAGAGCTAGGATGGGGAGCTATACAATTCTTTGATTACGAAGGGTAATTAATTATATTTATTATTAAGAAAATATTTTATTCGTGTCTTTGTACATTTTTAATTGCAGAGTTATGAGTCAAGGAAGCTTCTTTTTGTCACTTTGGCCAGCAATCGCCGATAAAAGATTAGGTCCTGCTCCCGCTCCTGGAATTCATCCTCATGGAGATACGCATGCTATCATTGGTGTAGAATTACCTGATTATGGAGGCAGAGTACTGTTTCCTACAGAATTGCGCGATTATGATGTAGAATCTCTTGATTTTAATTCACTCGACCAAAATACGCAAGAATTATTAATAGATATCACACAACAAACTACATTTTCAAGGTATAGTATATTTTTAAATTATAAATATAAATAACAAATCCCAAATATTAATTTATATATTTATTGTTGAGTAGACCGCTTATTGAAGAAAGAGAAATTCTATGGGAAAAGCGGCATTATTTACATGATAAACCTGAAGCTTTACCTAAAGTACTTTTAGCTGCACATAGTTGGGATTGGGCATGTTTACCCGATCTTCATGCATCTCTTAGAATTTGGAGTCCTTTGCCTCCTGTTCAAGCTCTGCAGTTACTGTTACCTTGGTAATTCAATAAGAATATGAATATAACATGATTGATGAATATACAACTAATTAAAGATATTTTATAGTTTTCCAGATATGAAAGTTAGAGAAATGGCCGTTGGATGGATTCGAGAATTGAGCAATGACGAACTTGTAGATTATTTACCACAATTATTACAGGCGTTGAAGCATGAAACATATGAAACGTCTCCTCTTACAAAGTTTCTATTAGAACGAGCTTTACTTTCTCCGCGGGTAGCTCATCATATCTATTGGTTATTAACACAAGCGTTACCAGGACAAAGTCCTCAAGTAATTCAGATTGAAATAATTTTCTTTTACTTTAGGAAACTAAACAAGTATATTTACTATATTTTATTTTCAGAATTCTGCTGAAACTACACCAGAAGACGACAAAAATATTAGTTCAGCACGTTATCACAGAAGATTACAATTAATGTTGAGGGCATTATTGGCTGTCATTGGAGATGCATTAAGAAATAGTTTTCTTACTCAACAGTTGCTTGTTAAAGTAAAGTTCTCTCTCTTTCTCTCTCTCTCTCTCTCTCTCTCTCTCTCTCTCTCT